CATGAGTGCAAGGTAAATGATTTCCGTCAATTATAATGTCAATAACATCCTCAACTTTATTTTTATTTTTGCCGAATATAAGAACATTGGATTTCAGGGAGTTGATAGAGAGGAAATGCTTTTTGGAAATTTGTACAAGTTTTTCAAGTTCTTGGTTGATAACCAAATTAGCTAAATACAGATCAGAGTAAAAAAAAGAATATTTTATTTGTGTATCGTCAGCATAAAGATAAGCTTCAGTACGTTCTAAAACATTGACTATATTACATGTATATAATGAGAATAGCAATGGTCCCAAAATAGAACCTTGTGGTACACCACACTTTATAGGTTTCAAATTCGAATGTTTATCATTAACCGCAACGAATTGTAATCTATCTGACAAATAACTTTTAATTATTACAATGGAACTCTCAGAGAATCCCACATAGTGTAAAATGGCAAATAAAATTTCATGGTTGATTGTATCAAACGCCTTGGAATAATCAATTAGAATGAGGGCTGAGTTTTTTCCATCATCTATATCTTTGAGAATATCATCAGTTATATCGAGTAATGCTGTTGTGCAGCTGAACCCGCTGCGAAACCCAGATTGCCTCTTTGGTAATATATTAAAAGCATAAATATGTAAAGTAATTTGATGTTTCATGATTTTCTCTAAGACTTTCGATAGGGTAGATAATATTGAGATTGGACGTAGTTCATTGAGATTTTCGACATTTTTCTTTTTGGGAAGTGGAATTACTTTGGAAATTTTCCACAAAGAAGGAAATATACTAGCAGAAAGACATGTATTCATAATATGTGTGACGGCAGGTAAGATTTGAGGGCAGCATAACAAAAGCATTTCAATATTAATGTCATCGGGACCAGTAGCTTTAGATTTTATATCTAAAAGATATTTATATACTATGTTCTCATGAACAGGTGTGAAGGAAAATAAAGTATCAAAGTTATCTTTAAAATTATTACTATAATATTGAACTAAATCAACATTCGGCGTTCCAATAGTATTTGATGGAATAAGGAAATGGTTATTTATCAAATTCGGATCATTTAAATTATCAGGCAGACTATTATCAAGTTTATTGCGAGTTTTAACGTGAACATTTGAGTCTCTAAGTTTTTTCCATAAAGTTTTACTACTACTATTAGCTGTACAGAATTCCAAATAACTTTTTTTTTCATTGCGTATGGAGTTGGTCGTAAGATTTTTCCACCGTTTGTAATCTTCCCAATGATCAGGATTTTTTGATTTCTGGTACTTTTTTAATGCTTTGTCTCTCATAGACATCATCAGTCTTACATTGTCAGTTAGCCAAGGGGGTTTCTGTTTTTTTAATGTGATCTTTTTCAAAGGCGCTAACGTATCAAAAATATTCAAAATCAATTGATTGAAATATTCAATTTTTGCATTCACATCGTCAAAAAAAAGTATGTTGTCAAAAGGACATTCTGCAAGAAAATTTTGAAGCAGGTCATAGTCAATGCGCTTGAGGTTTCTAAATTCGAGTTTTTGATTATTATCAGGTTTCGCTTCCAGACCGATATTACAATATACTAATAGATGATCAGATACGTTATATACATCCATAGTACCACAACTGAGGCAATTAATGGAAATTTGGAAGAATACACCTTTTGTGTCAAAATCATCAGAGATTGGAATATACACACATATTATACTCATTTACACTCAGTATACATGAGCAACACAACCCACACATGCCTTCCATGATTTATCTTTTTACATGTTCAGTGGTGAAATGAATTCATATAGACGAATTTTGAATGTGTTTAGAGAGGTGAATTTCTTGCTCCATTCGAGAGGTTATCAAAATCATTCGAGCCCTTGAAGAATGATGTTTCCATTGAGCTCACATTTTGAGTTCGAGCTTTCTGGAAATTGTTCACGTTCCTTGTAGAATAAGTGCGGATCTTATTATCATACGTAATCAATTAACTGAGAAAACTTGGGTTATTTTTTAAATGAACACCATTGTCATGAGAAACATACGTTATGCCAGTCCAATGTTCTTAACATCAGATCAATTGGAGCATATTTATTGCATTGCAGAATGATTCTCGTATCCCTATTCTGAAGTTTTTGTGAAGTCATTGAACATTTTCTGTCCAACAGGTCAGTGAGCTACCACAATAGTCGAAGTGGGGTTGTATTATCGTCCTATAATGGTTAATTTGGATTAGAGAGACATGTTATAGGATACTCTAGATAAAAAATAACTTTTATGATATTTTTTTGGTGCAGATGTAATCGCTGTGATTTTTGAAACTTGATCTCTCATCTTTCATAAAACCTAGATATTCAAATTCCTCAACCCATTCCAGATTTCCAACTTCAATCTAAATGTGTAAATGTTAATAGTATACGTTTTTCAATTCGTATTCCTTACTCAGGATAATTGCCTTTGTTTTCTTTGTATTTAATTTCATTTTATTACTTCTCACACCCTGTTCCTCATATTCATTGTGATCTACTTGATTTTGTTCTCAACCGGAATATTTTTTAATTCAACTTCAAATTTCATCAACAAACACAAGGTTGAGCGATGGTAAAAACTTCACAAACGATAAGATTTCCACACGACATGTTTTGCTAACACAGTAGCTTCGTCAGGTGATATACTGGTACAATGAACTAACGTTGGCTTGCTTGACTTTTAATTATCCTACTTTTCCAACCTGAAGGATTAGTTACCTGTATAGTGTATTTATCCTTCAGGTTGGGAAAGTAGGATATATAAAAGTCAAGCAAGCCGACGTTAGTTAGTTTATTGGACCAGTATACTTATCCCCTGCCGAAACTACTGTGTTAGCGAAACATTCCGTGTTTTTGAGAATTTTGTGGAAATCTTATCGTTTGTGAAGTTTTCACATTTGCCATGGATTTCCATCAAGTAACGGCCGAGACAATTCAAAAAAAGTTGAGCAATGGGTATAACAAGCTTTAACATTTGTTAGCGAAAATTCTCATGAATGATTTGGAAAAACAATTTTTGAATTATTTTCAATTCAATTCTGTATTGGTGTTTCATTACAAATATGTGGATGTTGCCTCCTACTTCCTGATGGCTTTTCCATAGCGGTGTCAAATTCATCAGGATATATCAATACAATACACCTAAATATTGAATTATCTATGAAAGCAGAGTATGATGTCAAACTTCCTGGATCTACCCATAACAAATTATTGATACTTTCAGAAACTATCATTCCCAATGATTTCAACCACATATCTTCTCATAAATTCACTGCTTTTAACTGTTTCTCCTATAGATCAATCTCATTGCCACTCTCGGATTCTGCTTTTGATAATGAAATCAACATAATAAATACAACTGCTATTGATATTCAATCTACACTAGATCAAATCGAGAATATTTTGAATTGTATCGAACACCAATCCTAAGTGTTTGGGTTTTATCCATAATATGGTTTTTTTTTTACCTCACAACGAAATGCCAACTGAACCTATTCTTCCAACATTGGTGATGCTCTGATTCGAACCCTGAGTAGCATTTATGGTTAAGCTTCTAGCACAATTAACAATGTATCAGGTCTGTTATTCTGAAACCATGAGAGTGAACGCAGCTTGCTCAATTTTACTTCGGTTGTATACAGTTGGCATTCGTATGAATCGAGCACTTGCATCATTTTCATCATTTTCACAATATACGATTCAACAACTATACAGGCTGATTCACGGTGGATGGCACATTAGACGTTTCTGGTGAACCAGACAACGGATCATTTTGAAAATTCAATGAAGGGCATATTCGGACATTCTCTAGCCAACTAAAATATTTTCCACAATGCGGTGTTGCCGCTTCTATTAGAAAGCAGTAGCAACTTTGATTTTTCAAATGGAACACTCTGTATTTTATTGCATTTTTAGATTCTTTCTGAAGAGCAGATTTCATCGATGCATCATACTTGGGGTCTAGCGGAAATGATTACAGAGATATAGGGTGTGAGAAATCGACATTTTTCAACTTTAGTAATTTTTTTTGTCGAAACTATTCATTATTGGTCAAAACGGCTCACATGTCCCTATCCCAACTTTTGATCAACTATCTACTAAAATTTAATTGAAACAAATACAGGGGTGGTGCAGAATTCAGCATCTTGATCACCCGGTATATATCCCAATTAAATATCAGTAGATAGTTAAACAAAAGTTGAGATAGGGACATGTGAGCCGTTTCGACCAATGATGAATAGTTTCGGCACAAAAAAATTCTAAAGTTGAAAAATGTCGATTTTTCACACCCTATATCTCTGTAATCATTTCCGCTAGACCCCAATAAAATACAGAGTGTTCCATTTGAAAAATCAAAGTTGCTACTGCTTTCTAATAGAAGCGGCAACACCGCATTGTCGAAAATGTTTCAGTTGGCTAGATTTTCCCTCCATTGGATTTTCAAAATGATCCGTTGTCTGGTTCACCAGAAACGTCTAATATGCCATCCACCGTGAATCAGCCTGTATAGTGTTCGTCATTACCACAACTACCAAATATCCTCACTAAAAGACTATTCAAAAAGGCGTACAGCGTACAACTAATACGCTAAAGTAACAATCTTGATTTGAGTGAAATTACATTAGTTGTTTCAAAGTTATGAAATGAAATCGATTTGAGAATTCAGAGCCATCTAACGCTCGAAATAAACAACTTTGTACCGAGTTAACGAGTTTGCTTGTATCGTATTTTTCTGGTCTGAGGAATATGTGGTAAGTTTTTGTGAAGACTTTCTAGGGACGTGATATGGTTTATCATTGAATATAGAGTGCTGTTCCTTATAAAGAAACATCCCGAAACTCTAGGAATTATCTAGTCAACGCCCGTAGATCTTCGAACAATATAGAAATACCCTCTAACGCGCACGAAGCGATAAAATAACTGATTATATGTTCTGAAATTTTCATAAACGTATCGGATTGGTGTGTTGTCAGATTACTCAATGAGAATAAGAATCAAATTGACATAAAATGTATATTTAATGTTAATTGTCATCGATATCAAAACAAATCACAATTCGTTTTTCAAATCAAATGTGAACATCTTGTTTTCGGGCCTACTCTTGATCCATTCTCTCAAGGTTGGTACTGTCAAAATGTTGTTTTTGACTTTGACAAGATTGGGATAGTCAGCCAGCATATCTTTCTTCAGCAGATTTGTCATTCCTTCGTACACACAGATGAAGAAAATGTCAGCCCATGATATCTTGAAAACAAAAGTTGCATATAGTATAACATCAGTAAGAGTTACAATAATTATAATTAGTACAGGTAAATTCGTATCGACCAAAGATATTATCTTCATTTTCACGTATGCGATTATGAGATCAGCATAATCTAGCACCCAAGACCCGACACAGACTTCTTTCGATGAAATATCAATCCAGCTCTTTCACTGACAGGGACTGATGAATATATGAATTTGTCCCAAGTTCCATTGAATATTGAAATATCTGAGTATCTTATCAAAATGGAGGGGGAATGTAACAAACTCAATTTGCATCAATTTTCGATATTTCGGGAAGCTTCATCCTTCTTCAAACGTGCGTGATTTTCCTTATACCCGCACGCAATACAGTTTGGAATGTGTGATTATTTTCTCGCACTATAGTGCAAGGATGTTCTCTCCACACTATTGCGGGAAGCGTTTTCCACACTAGTGAGGAGAAAACAGTGATATAATATTATCGCAAAATGAAAGTGGTTCGTGATATAATATGAAAGTTCAAGCCTGTTTGTAACTATTTATTGTTAAACTGGAGAAATATGTAAAAATAGGAATTGATCATTATGATAACCTCACAATAAGCTACTTATATGAGAAACAATTTTTGCCATGTCAATCAGAACATAAATTTGTTTGTAATTGTCGAAATGACATTGCGGACATGCGAGTGACAGAAAAAGCGTTACTTATGTAATTTTCAGTTTATTGAAATTGCCACAATGGATTATTCATCTCATGAAAAACTTGCATGAGAAATTATACGAGTAGCTCCCGAACTCAGAGTTATTGCCAACGAAACCTGAAGAACGGTATGAGAAGCAATACACATGTCTTATCTGAAAGGTGTAACAGTGAAGACGTAGAAAAACAAATAAAGACGAAGTACTTTCTGGAAATGTCTTGAATGTGAAAGGATAGATATTCAGTATTGAAAACTGCATTCCTGATGTATTCAAAGTGAAACTAGATTCGAATATTTGAAAATGTCACTAAAGAATTGCGTTCATAGAAAGACATAATGCACCTGATCAGCTAACTTCAAGAAATGTGCTGGCTTCGGCAATGAAACTACTGAATTGGTCGAACTGTACATTGACTATAAATATAACTGATAATGAGTAGATTAAATAGCTGTTAATTCAACTAGATTATCAAGCGATTTATAATAGTAAAGGATATTGATACCCAGACAACACAAGTGAATCCATTGGACAACCAATGGATGTCCAGCTATGGATACCCTGGACATCCATTGGATGGACGGCATTGTCCAGTATTTGTCCAATGGACATCCATTGGATAATACATGTCCAACAGTTTGGACATACATTGGAAGTCCATTGGCTTTCCATTAGACATCTGATGGATTTCCATTGGACATCCAATATTTGTCCTTTCCATTGGAAGTCTATTGGATACTCATCAGACATCCAATGGATTCCCAATGAAGATCCATTGTATGTCCATTACATTTGAAATACCATTGTATACACATCAGAACTCTAATGGATGTCTACCAAAAATCCAACTTATGTAAATTCCAATGATAAGTTTATTGGATACTCATCAGGAATACATTGGATTTCCATTGGATATCCAAATTTTGTCCAGCCAGAACGTAGGAATTAAAAAAAAATTGTCCTTTGAGGGGATTGAACTCCGGACCCCGATCTCGTGGATCACAACGCTAACCTCTGGACCACTGAGCTGTTATAAATATTATAGCAAGTATTTCGTATTCACGGTATTTCACATCGAGAGAAAATGCAATTTGCTGAAGTTTAGTGCCGCAATAAAGCTTTTACACGGCCCTTATCAAAAGTGTTACAGGGTGATTCATCTTTTTCGAAAGAAACCCGCCGTATGATATTTGCCCATATCGATCTTATTTGCACGGCCTAAATGGTTTAAAATTGAAATTGGATGAAAATCAACTTCAAAATAAGTACCTACCTCTATATAGGTACGTAACCTACAAAAATGATGAGACGTATAAAATCTTGAAAAATAGTACCGAGTGCGAAGTTGTCCGTGATTAATGTTCATATATATATTATATATTATTGGTAAAAATATTTCAATTGAAATAGAAGAGTCATAAATGACACATACATACTTTGCGAAACGATTTCCATTGGATAAGTATGATGGATATCCATTGGCTGTAAAAATTTCGTTGTCCATTGTACAACTACAAAATGGATGTCCATTGTATGTACAAATCTCTATGTCCATTGTACATATACACAATGGATGTCCATTGGACATCCATGGACATCCGGCTACCTAATGGATTCAAAATGGACATCCAATGGATGTATGTGTGTTATCTGGGTAGGTGTCGCGACGACAGCCGAAAATATCCGAGACGGTGTTGAATCGCGAATAATCGGGTAACATTTACAGGTTTATCGTATCATTGACAACGGCAATGCAAAAATAGCATTTCAAGAAGTCTTCATTAAAATCATGCAAGATTTTAATATTCCTGACGATATATTATCTGCAGTCAACAATATAAGGCTGTACTTGCTTAAAAAAGAATCTGAAATCGATTGTGGAAAATGATATCGGTAGTGATGTGAGTAAAGTACATGTCCAAGGTGTATAAAAAACGGTGCTGCTGGCGTATTTCACTAAACTTTCTGAGAAAAATCCTGTTTCATCAAAACGTTGGATATAGAGCGAAAAAAATTAAAGTATTTTCGAGAGAACTTGTCAACGAGTTTATGCGTTATGACCTAGACGAGGAGTTTTCAATGATGAAAGCGGCTTTTCAAATTGGAATAGAAGGAGCCTATCGAACCAATGAATTAGTAAAGGTGACCATGGAAGATGTTGAACTTTCTGAAGACAAGTGGCAATTACACTATTACCGGCTGAAAAATCAACAAGAGGCGGATTTTACGCTGTGGTATCTGACGACGAAATCAATCCTGTGCTCTAATTCCAAAAGAACTCAATAGTCCAAGTCACTCATCAAAAATTGTTTGTATCATACAATAAAGGGAAGAGTACGATGCAGCCCTGCGGCATTTTTCTCTGGAATAACCTCAAAAAATAGCTGAGTATGAAATGGAGTATTTTGGCTTTGTCTCAAGCAAATATTTTGCTATGATGGAATAAAATCTACAGAATTCAATGAATCATATCGTCGTGAGACGCTTCTAGAAGAGGCTCGTCTTGTTGAATTCAATCATGAGCAAGTATTGATATAAGTCTAGTCCATTCATCCACTTACCCTTTTGATAGCAATGTAACCTCCATTATCACCAGCTCTCCCATTGAATCGTTTCAAGAAGAATGGTACAGTCTCATTCACTACTACTTGCTCCATAGTTTTCTTTTTTTCTTCATCTTTTTCGTTTACAAATTCACGTAGTTCTGTGGAGTAGAGGATAATGAGAGACATGAAATGATATCAAGGTTGCTATAGATTCTCGACAGTTTGAGACATAATGTCAATGATGCTTCAAATGGGTAATTCAGGTAGTTCGAATCTATTATACTCATATCTGTGGGATCGCAGGGTACCACCCTGTGACCCAGATAGCACACATTCGCCTAAGGTCATCCTCAATGTGTCGCCAAACGCCTGGAGAAGACGTTCTATTTTCTACAGCCTAAGAACATCATCAGGCGTAAATTTAGCGCTGTAATTGTCCTAAATGAGTTCTTTCAGTGACAGCCTGAGGATGTAAAGAATTTCATGCCTACGGACGTCTTCAGATGACATTCCATGAAATAACGTGTCATCGAAGACAAAAGGAAGAAAAAGAAGAACTAGAATTGAGGTTATGTCTCATGATAGTCATGATTTGTTCAAGATACATCATAATATATTAATGATTATATCAAAATTATTAGAGTATTCATTGAATACCTTCATCAAATTTCTATTTCACAAAATGATTGCGAGAAGAACCTATTGCACAGAATCAAAAGATAACAATAACAAAAGGATGATGATCTCTGTTGATGACATTTCTCTCAGGTAGCAAGAAACAATGGTGAGTAAATACTAAATAGAATCATTGATAGTACCCCACTAAACATGAAAACATAACTTAAACATAAATGTTATATTACATTGTTACTTTGTGATGTTATTCAGAGAGATGCATAATGTCACAGATACGTTGTGGGAATAGGCTTTTGTGCCTCTTTTAAATATTACAATGTAATGTTGATAGTAAATATTATATAAATATATCAGGAATCACATAAAATCGATGTTACTTTATAACGTATATTCAATATGTTACTCGATACATCTAAACAATATTGTATTTTAACATTCTAATTATTTTCTGGGAGTTTTTAGGTTATGTCTATTTTGTCTGGAATCATCAAGACAATCATCTAAATGATCTTCACAAAAGACAGAGAAGATGATCTATCCCTGAATAAGAATTGATCTTACCGTACTCCTGAGAGACTATAAGTATGATCCAGTTACATAGTGATAATTTGAGACAGATTAACTACTATCTATCTATGTATCATTTTAGTTATTATGCTTCATGAATCCAGTCATACCAAGCTTATATAGCTTTATGATTTCTGCATAGTCCAGTGATCTCTTACTGACTTTCTGAAAAGTAATAGGTAAATATATCCGGGTTTTTGGAAGTTTTCTGACTTATTTTGAAATTCTCTTCTATGTTCTTCTTCTAGCTATGACATATAACTCACCCATTATTTTTGTAATTCATGAAATATGAACACAATACGTATTCACGAATCCCTCCTACTTTTTCACATATTATGAAATGCAGATACATATTGGTTGCATTTCTATATTCCAGCAGAACAAACCTGGAATCTAAATAGGTATCATGAGCAGTTCATATTTTCATTCGAGTCTATTTGAGTCTTATATAGACTTATTCTTCATTAGTTCTTGACTTACTTTAATAACTACGAATAATATCTGAAAATCAAGTTTAACACTGATCACACTGTTTGACCTGTTCACCATAATAGACAACAAACAAAATGGCTGGAATGGAATTGAATCGACTTTTGACAATTGACAAGGTTACTTTGCCGTAGGAGGAATAATATTATCCCCTTATATCCCCTATACATGTTAGCTACGTTATAAGGTGGTGAAACGAAAACGTTGCACAAATAACATAACAACTCTGTCTGAGATATATCTGATGAACTTAAAATCATAATATCACAATATTATCTAATGGTATTGATATCAATATTGATGCAACGTCTTATAAACGTTTTACTTCATAATATTATGTTGGATACTTCAGAAGGATATTATGGCAATGTTATCTCAACAATATCACAAAACTTATAACTGAAAAATATTTTTGTTATGTATCATGTTTAGTGGGACCGGACATGAAATATTGATACATTCATATATACATTATTTATTGTTTCAGGAGGTTATTGAGAACACGAACTTGATGATATCATCATAGCAAACATGTTTGATTCCAAGATAGCTTTGCTTCTTCGGAATCTTTAAAATATTGTATTAAAGCTTGAACTTTCAGTATAAATTCAATAAAGGTATGTACCTGAATCAAATCATTGATATAGTAGGTACTGGACATGAAATGTTAATAGGTTAATTATTTGTTTCAGATGAAGTTATCCAGAACACAAGATTGATGATGTCATCAGAGCAGAGATGTTTCATTCCAAGATATTTTGGCTTCTTCGAAATCTATGTGAGATTGCGTATGCATGTTTGCACTTTCAGTATATTCAATAAAGGTAGGTACCTAAATCAAATCATTGATATAGTAGGGACTGGAACATGAGATATTAATAGGACTTGAACATTCAGTAGATTCAATAATGGTTGGTACCTATAACTACATGAATCATATCATTGATAGTAAGTACTGGACATGAAATATTAATACATTGTTTGTTTCAGAAGGTTATGCAAAACACAAACCTGATGATATTCTCATTCCAAGATAGTTTTGCTTCTTCAGAATCTATAAAATATTGCATGAAGGCTTCAACTTCCAGTTGATTATTCTGCATCAGGAATGTCCAGAGTTCAGAAATCAAAAACAACATGGAGAAATATAACTATCAATAGGCAATAACTTCTAGTAGTGCTCAACAAGAAGCTGAAATACATTTCTTTGAAAAGGAAATTGAAATTTTTCAGAATAAGTTATAAATAATAGAATGTAAGTTTTTCATTTGGTTTTTCATTTGAACCTATTATAAATAGAGGGAAATTTTGCAAATATCATGAGATCCATATCATTTTGAAGAAATTATCATTTGCATAATACAAGGTGAGTCAATAGTGTGTTATCCTTATTGTATATTAGCCAAACCATCAGATATATAGAGAAAATTCAAGTACAACAGTAATAGGGTTTCATGAGAACTTTCACATCAAATTGTTTTCATATATATATTCGAACACCCTATAGATATGAAAACAACTTTGGGTGATTGTTCTTATGAAACCCTATCACTGTTGTACATGAATTTTCATTTTATATATCTGACGGTTTGGCTAATATCGGAGGAGAACACACTATAGTGACTCATTCTGTATACGAATAATATTCTCCCATAAATCTTGAACCTCCTTGAAACATCATCAAAAACCGCCTCAAGTTGTTACCATAATGTCCTGAGGTTGTCTCAAAAGATTTTATAGGGATGTTCTGAGACGTTATTAGTATGTAGAGAATGGTAACAGGAGGACGTCTTGAGAATGTCCTCAGGCTCGCTCTCGACGTCCTGAGGACATGATTGTGAACGCCTCAGAAGGGCCTCAAAAGGAATTTGTGCTATCTGGGGAAGCACCGACCCCAAGACCAACCCTCAGCAACAAGTGCTCGTGTGGATACCTCCCGGGGCGAGACACACTTTTTTTACGACGGTGGTAGAGCAAAGACGATTAAGACGAACGACGGGCTCAAAGACGTTTACTACCTTTTCAGTTTGTTATTACTCATCATTATTCAGTTCATTTGTAGTTCTCCAGTAATATAGTCACTAATAATAATCGACACTCTTTCCTATTAACTAGTATCCCACATAATTTTGGGGGCTCAACCGGGATAACAATTCGAAAAGTGCGATTTTATTCAGTGACGTGTGACGACGCGATATACGACTAAAGAACAGTTTTATCCTTTTCAACGACGGGTCGTGCGATAATTTGCATACGACGTTAATTGCAAATTTCCAGTGACATTTGAACAAATAGTGAGAAAAGTAGTGCGTAATTCTTGATTACTGAAAAAAATGACGACGGTAACTCTTGGGCAAATTTCGGGTATCGTGGACAATATCAAAGCAGCACCTGTGAACGTTATCCGAAAATGTCATAAACTCGTATTCGAAAACAACGGTGATCGCAGCAACAGAAAAAGATTGCGCGAGTTTAGTGGATTTCAATTCGAACAGGGTTCTGAAACTTACAAAGCCAAGTTGAAATATATAAATGACAATTTTTCCGTGAGTGACTTGACTTCAATTTCGAACATTATCAGAGTGGACTATGAAACGACGAAAGACAATTTAGTGAAGAACATTAGTGCGATGTTAATGGAGTTATTGAAAAACTCAACTGCGAATAATCCAGACGACGATGAAGAAGAACAAGGGGAAGACGACATAAGCGGAAGTGAAATTTCTCAGCATGATTCAGCGTCGCAGATAGGATCAGCCGCAACGAGATATGTACCTACTTTTGCAATGAGTTTCAGGGACGTAGAAGACTCAATTCGTCAATTCGATGGTACTGGTAAAATTTCAGTTGAAAAATGGATTGCTGATTTTGATGATATGAAACAATTGTTCAACTGGGGTGAGTTACATCCCTTTATTTTTGCGAAGAAATCACTCAGTAGCATAGCCAAGCTCTTCATTCAGAGCGAAACAGAGATCAAGTCTTGGGCATCTCTGAAGACGGCCTTATTGAGAGAATTTTCTTCGAAGTTGAATAGCGCTCAGTTGCATCAAATGTTGTCCAATCGTAAAATCAAGAAAGGTGGGAATGTACAAGAATATTATCTGGAAATGAAAGAACTAGCTAGTAGAGGTTCGATAGAATCTGATGCTCTTATTCAGTATATTATTGATGGAATTGAAGACGAGCACAGTAGTAAAATTATTTTATACGGAGCAACAAGCATGGAGGAATTCAAAAAGAAGCTCAAAATTTACGGTGATTTGAAATCAAAAAGCCGAAATAATTCCCAAATATCAAGTAACGATAGAGAAAATTCAAGAACAGATTTCAGACAGTCTAGATCAACACGTTGCTTCAATTGTGGAATAATAGGACATAAATCAAGTAATTGTAGATCGAGAAATATGGGAGTCAAATGTTTCTGGTGCAATACTTTTGGTCATAAAGGATATGAATGTCA